GAGCACCCTCAGGAGCCTCTTCGGGGACTTGGTGACACCCGCTCCAGCACCACAGCGTGCAGCACCGCCACAGCAAGGGCAGGGTTTTGAAACTTTAACCTAACCTCTTCAGATAGACTTAGTCTAAAGACCTCTGATTTAAGTCCCATTATCTTTATGTGTAACAGTGAATAAAAAAAGAGTAGAGCATAAGCTGTAGTATGTTCAGCTTCAGAGCTACTAGAAAAAAACATTTATAGATGCAGATTTTGGCTAGGAGAAATGCTTTGACCTACCCTCTGCTTCCTGAAAGAGCCCTGCTGTTTTGCCACCATAAGTGGATGTTTGAGAGTAGTAACAAAATTTAGAGGCCACTTGAGCCTGCGTTGCTGTGAAATCAGAAGGCCAAGATAACACGTGAAGGGCTTGGAGAGCAGCAGTCCACATCCAGCAGAGCCAAGGGCTCCAGCTCCACAGCACAACCCCTTAACAGCAGGTACTACTTGCATTAAAACAGGCTTGACACAAATATTTGAGTTTTTGTTCGTAGCATGATGAGCTTGCCCAAGTTGGAACAAGACACAACCAGGATCTACAACTGCTTGCTCCTCAAAGAACCTTATAAATCCTCAAGTGGATGTTTTCTCTTTCCTTTTGTCAGACACCGAACATCTCTGCTGTAAAGTAGAATAACGGACACCTGCCCTTACACACCTGTCATGGAGGTTAGAGCCTGCCCTACTGCAGCAATTCCAGCAAAGCCAAGGGGAACAGCAACATATGCTCTCCAAGGATGCCTGTAAGAGCAGCCTGACCCATTCCAGGGACCTGGGAAGCAGCCAGCTGGACAGAGCAGCCACCACAGTGAAGGCTTCTCTTGTCCCTGGCTTATACTGACAAGAACAAGCAGCTTTACCCTGGGTATCTGGATCAATAATCCTGTTAATACCCCTTATTCAGATTAAAAACTATATAGCAGYAAAGGGATCAAAATATAATGTGAAAGGAAGCTTGTTAGTCTAAGAATATAATCTTTAATAWGAGCACCACCCCTGTCTGCCATGCAAGAGCAAGATGGAGCATCATTCTGCGTGCCATGCATGGTTGGAAGGAGTTAAGAGTAAACCAAAGCTCAAGCCCAGCTATTAGACCAGCCCTTGCCAGTTACGCAGCTGTAAGTACTAAGCTGTACTAGATATTTTCCCCAAAATTAAGTAATGCCACTAACAAGTTTTCCACTGCAAGCTCTCTTTTAAGGCACCTGCTTCCTTCCTTCATCTGGGTTCCATCAGTTCCATCCATAGACAGAGACTACTGCCTCCCCCTACCTYTGCCCCAAAAAAGCAGCAATGAGGAGGGTGGGTCTGTATCTGAAGTGGCAAAACACCCAGCACTGGATCCTGAGYCAATGCAGCTCAGCCGGGGAGCTGCTTTGGCTCAGGGAGAAATGGGGTCACTTGCTCCCACTCTGAGTTTTAGTAACACAGMAGTGTCTCAAGTTACAGCCCGAGCTTGCCCTCAGGAGTGGCATGCACAGACTGAAGAACTGTAGCAGGGGAGTACTTCATACTCAAGCAGGTGGCAAGAGTACTAGATTATACCCCAAAACACTGCTTGCACATTGCAGCCTATGCTGTTTGAGCTGAGCATGCCAGAAGGTCTGCAAGAGCAGCATCCTCAAAACAGTTAGTTGCAGGTGTGTAYTGAGCATAACAAAGCTATATTACAGTTCCATGTACTACACAGAAATCAATGATTTTATGTTCAATTAACTTCTGAATTGCAAATACAATATAGACAAATAGCAACGCTTAAAGCAAACCAAAGTGAAATACATACTGTGTTCAAACTTCAGGTTGGTTTTAATGGCAAACTTGTCTTCAAGTACAATGGACATTTGTCTTGTGACCACTATATCATTTGTAAAGGATTTTTTCCTCTGCTGACTTGCAAGTTAACATAAAATAGCTCTCCTTTAGACTGCACAACATTGTCCTGTTAAGTTTAGGCAACTGTAGTGATATTTTGTTGTCAAGATGTGCAGCCCAATGTCTTCTAGGATCTAGAGAAGACTTCAACTGGTATACTTAAGTGTATGACTTTCCAAAGCACAGGGATCGCCMATAACTAGATTCCAAACATCAAGTTTCCTAAAACCATTACTCCCTTTCCCTGTTGTTTCCCCCATTTTAATTCCAATGAACAATTTCTTGCAAACATAAACCGCTATTTAGACCRGCCTATAAATCTGACAAGTTGTCAGTAGTTAGGTTCAAATCAAAAAGCTTACTCCATGACCATCTTTCTCCACTTCTGAGTAAAGGTGCATCAGGTTTTATGAAGCTTTTGCCTTTTGGAACCAAAAGTTTAGATTCCCTACCAGTTGGCACTTATGTAAGATACACTTGCAACCAAGAGGTAGAAATTCCACTTAAATATAAATAAGCCCCCTTTGATTACAGGATCCAGAACTCAACACATTGTTTCAAAATCCTGAAAATCCCCCAAAGTTTTCAAGTTGGGGGAAGATTAAGTTAAAGAAAGCAAGAAGACCTAAGAGAAATTAAGAAGCTCCAATAAAATGAACAAGCAAATCCACTGAGCAGTTTCAGTGAAGCTGTGGGTGCAGTTGGAAYACATGCTTCTGGTAGTGTGTGCTTTACCTTTAACTTGGTTGGTATATCTGAAGCACAATGAAAGAGAGCACCGAGGTTTCTGAAGACACACAGCCCTTCCGCTGCGAGTTTGCACCAGGCAGAATTAGCTGGAGTTGACTCTTCAATAAACCCCACTAAAGGAAGAACAAAAAAGAGCTAAAGGTTCTGCAACAGCCAGCAGAGCTGCACTAACCCATGCTGCACGGGGGTCACTACATGCACGCTAGCTAAGGACTACCTCTTCTGGGTAGATCTACATCTACTGCAGGCTTGCTGTTCTTAGTGTTAGCGCCTGTAAACTAAGGTAATACTCTAAGAAATACCACAAACTGCATTTCAACCTTCCAGGAACTTACCTGTCTGTAACACAAGTTTATCAAGCCTAATTTACTTAAATTATTCATGACAATGCTCTATCAAAAACTGAAGTAATGGGCTAGACAAAAGAGGGCTTCTTAAAACAATCATGTACACATCTACTTTATAGCTACCTCTTCTGCCTAGCCCCTGGCCGAGTTATCCTGAAAAACAGAAAAATCTACACAAAGTTTTATTGCAACCATACAAGGGGTACATCAAGGGTCAAATACAACAAATACTATGATGCAATTTTACATTTATTAAACTACAGTTCAAAGCACAAATTTACACATTCTAAATACACTAAACACCTAATGAAGTCACACTGGTCTCCCACTGACATTTGATATATCTGGGCGAAAGACAATAACTTTACAAGACTTTTCTAACAGGAATCCTTAGTATAAAAACTGTACTTGTATGTAAACTGTTGAAGAACCCAAGTGATGGGTTTCCATCTCCACTAAGTCATCCATTTTGTTGCATATTTAAACGCTCAGGGGTTGAACAAACTGGTAAGTTGAAATTTGGATGCCATTATGTAACCCTCCCCACACACCCTGGTGAATTGTAGCTGTAGCTGGTTTTGCCTGGTCCCAATTAGCTATTACTATTTTTTTCTTCAAGTTTTGACAAGAATGAATTGAATTCAAGATTGTTCCATTTCTTCCACACTGGAATGTTGACCAGACAAACTACAGACTTGCAACTGCAGGTCTAAATGAAGCGTTAATGCCTGTTTAAGCTGCAGTGGAAAAGCGGTCTTCTGAGCCCAGCTGAATGCACGAAGGCACAAAGAAGAAATTCTTCATCAATGTGTCTGAAGTAATTCCAGCATCTTGCATCTCATCCCTGCAGCAGAAAGGGCAAGAGTTGTAATCAAGAGGAAAAAATTAGTCTTCATACATAATTTAACATCAGAAACTAGTGTTCAACTTGGCATTTGAAGTTTACAGCCCAGGTGTAACACAGGGTGGCTTTATGTTCCAGCATCAAAAGACAATCAGCTGTACCCAAATCAGACAAGGGCTTAAGTRGCAGACTGGGATACTCAACTGTCCCCAGCACTGCAACAGCATTGCCTTTCCTGCTTGCAATCACCATGCCAGTCACAATGATGCAAGCTACAAGCTGGTATGAAGAAACACCAGCAGTCAGTATCAAGCAGAACAAGGGTACAACTCCAGAGCAAGTGTCCCTAAGCTCAAGAGTCCACACCAGCAACGCTGCTTTTCCATCAGCCTGAGAACAGGCACTCTGCCACACCTCTCATTTTAATGCTAGCAAAGTCAGAATACAGCAACAGCAAGGCAAAGAATAAAAAAATCAGGCCAGCATTCATTTTAAAATGAAACACCCATATCTTCCTGTATTTATTATCACAGATTTAATTTTTCCTTGGCTGCATGTGCCTTCTCAAAGGAAGTAAAAACCACCTTGCTGTTATTAGCACAGTTTTCTCACCAGTCACTGAAAGACATCATGTAGTAAATCAGTGGCCGCTGATAGTCGTTGAAGGTGGACTGTTCACCCAAGGTGCCGGATCCCATGTTAGCAAAGATGAGCCAGTCGCCAACACTCAGCTCGGGAAGAAGACAGTTTTCCACRATTTGATCGAGCTCATCACAGGATGGACCCCAAAGGCTGCTTGTGAACAGAGGCTCATCTTCCTTGTATTTCTAAATGAGAATAACCCAATGTAGACATTAGTAAAAAATATATATATATATAAATTGTTTAGCTCATTTCTGAAAAAATCCTGAGGGACTCACCTTGTGAACCTCCGGAGTAGGATTCAGTTTCTCAGACAATTTACTTGCAAAAGAGCCATAAACACCATCATTTATGTAATAGGTAAATACTGGTTCATCATCCCTGGTTTGCTCCACTGGAAAGAAAAATATACAGCTTACTTTAAAAGCAAAAAAAAAGTAAATATTCCTTTCTGCAATCTTCTTAATGAATTCAACAGCTTTATCTTCAAAAGGTGTTATATGCACTGAAGTGTGATTTATACTGGAATTATCAACAGGATGAGATCTGGTTATCAATTTAGATGCATCATTAAATTTAGATGCAACATTTTCAGAAACAATCACTATTAAGAACAGACCTGCCCTGTTCTGGTCTATTCAATACAATCCTTCTATAAACTTCCCTAAACCACCTAATATATGGCTATATAATGTTTGCAATACATCACTGAAGTCAGACCAAAGAAGACAATAAGAAATGCCAAACAACTGTACCAAGGAAAAAGATACAGATGGTTAAAATGATTAAAATCCAAAAGGTGTACTAATATGTACCCTGTGCTTGAGTTGTAGATACATACAAGGCAAACTAGTCCATCCAGACCAAAACATGCCAGAGCACCCGCACCGCTCACCTCCAGAAGGAAGAAGTTTATCACACTCAGTTTTCTTTGCAATGATGTTAACTGCCAACGTAAACGCAGATGAAACATAATAACATCCAGGCTCTGCAATCACATTAACACCAGATTCCTCCGGGAAGTAGACATCCAGCAGTGGCCTGATGACATGATGAACCTAGAAAATTGGAATCCAGTTAGACTTAAGATCTGTGTCATTTATATAATGTATTTCTTGAAATAGATTTTTGGCAGACACTTTGYCCAGCACTAATTTCCAGTCAGCAATACCCAGCTCTAGGAAGCAGCCCACAAGCTCATTCTACTCCTTTGGTCTTTGAGAAATGCCCTTACCAGAGGCCAAAATTTATAACTAGTTGAAAGCAAAACATTCAGCTAAACCCCAAAAACTGAATACCATGAGTGCCCATTTCCAMCAAAACCTCAAGCTGCAGCACACTCAACATCAGGCAAGCACTTTCCAACTTTACATCACTTGCTACGTTAGAAAGAGTTGTGTATCAATCCAAAAGACCAAGGAAAGTTTGTGATCAGTTCTGAATAATTTCAGACAGGAAACAAGATAAATTAAATATTGATTATCAGTGAATTTTCACGTCTTAACCTTGAAGCAACTATTTGGCTTTAGAGGTAATTTAGACAAGTAACAAACTAACAAAAACTGTTTCTAATTCTCACTAGCAACTTTGCTCAATCAGTCACTGCCCCACCTTTGGAGAGTTTGTCTCAAATAGGCTATTCAGTTCTGTATTGTCTTTAAGTTATGTATTACTGCATCCTGAAGATACAATTTCTGCCAGATTAGTCATAAAAGTTTTATTTAAGGCTAGCCAAATATGTCATAAGGGCAAAGCTTTTGTCTTCAGTTGTAAAGTACCAAGAACACGAGCACAACAGCAATATGGTTTATGAACCAAAGCATGCTAATGAATCGTTGCCCTAACTATGCAGGAGAGCACATTAAGGCACCTGCAAAGAAGCTGTCAGCAGAAGCCACGTCAGCAGCAGGAATTTAGCCTGCGACTGTAACTTCAGYCAAGATTCAACCAAGAGAGGATTAAAGGAAATAATCACCAAGACAACATTGCATTGCCCTATGAGACAATATAAAACCATTTACTTATATCTTATGGTTCTGCAGTCTATATTGTGGAATTTAAAACAGATATTACCTAATAATGCTAGTTAGAATTCAGAGGTTWAGTAGAATGTCACAAAAATGTTCCTGCATACCTCTTCCAGCTGAAGCTCAGAACCTGTGAAGCCYCCACCAATGTCCAGTATGTTCATCTTAAAGCCAAATTCTTCCTAAAACACACAAGCAGAACGTAAGTACACATACAAATGCAACTTTAAAAATATCTTTTCTCCTTACTGTGATCATTTTCTATACACCTACACTCCTGCGTATGTGTAGAAAAGRATAGCCGAGTGATGAAATTACATCAGCAAAAACTAGTATTCCTGCACTTAAACCTAGCAGTAATAACACTGGGATACTAGAGGCTGCTTACACAAGTTTGCTTTGAGTCCGACTGCAGTCTCAACTCCCATCTTGTGTTTGTTATACTTGAGCAATATTTGCTAACCAGGGTACTGCATCAAGGCAGAAGAAAGTTTTGGGACTGTACAATATGACCAAAGCAGGTCTTTAAGAYAGCACTTATGTAACTAGGGACTGCAAGGATGCATTTGCACAAGAACTTAGTTACATTGTTCATCATGTATAATCAGCTAATGCATGAACTGCTGTAATGAACAAAGACTTATAAAAAATAACTTGAACCATGTTACTTATGTCAACATGAATATTAACTTGCCATAATACAAATATTGAACATTTTAATGCAACTTAAAAAGTTGTGTATTTGTAGCACTGAGACTTCAATTTCCAAAGCAAAAGACTTTTACTAAGAGTCAAAATCAAGTTTTTCATTTGAAAGTGAAAACTTAGTGTTCTGCTAACTGCTTAGTTCTATTCTTCATTAGAAGTAGGTTATCTTGGCGATTCTCTTTTCTATTTGATCTTATAAACACTTTTCCCTAGGGTGGTAGAGAACTTTACTGCTTTATAGCTGCCTGCACACTGCACTGCTGCCAGTGGGACAGTGTTCATGGACTTTTCTGAAAGTCTGTCCATGTCTTTGTCCAGAATTATGATAAACTATTCTGCCTCTGCCATAGGTTTCCAGGGATATTTAGCCAGTTACTACAAGTTTGAATTTCTTACACTAATATAACTTATTTTAGAAATACACATGGCTTGTCAGCCTGATTAGGAAAGGACAAATCTTCTCCCGAAACACTTGCATACATCTACTTACAGCCATGTCAAACACACACCGAGCATCAGATATAGCATGAATGTATGTCTGCAGATCCTTGCAAGTGCTTGAAATGTGAAATCTGAAAGAAATAAAGCTGCAGTTAATGCACAGAACCTCAGTTCTCAGACCAAGCAAACCATTCCTCTACCCACAGTAGCAGGGGAAAGTACTCTATTCCCAAGTTGCAAAAAGATAATTCTGCACAATATACAGTAACTGTAYAAAGAACCACTCAAATTGGCTTCTACCCCACTGTATTTACATAAACAAGCCCTGTCCTTTTAACAGCAGTGGCTTGTAATACCCTAACTCTTAGGCATGCCAAGTTTATTGAACCTTTCAGTCTTTCAGCATCAGAAAGACTCAAGTTTAACACGTGCACTAGAATAAGCATCAACTTTCCCCACTGACTCTGGAGCCTGGCATGGTCTGCTGGGTCTGGATGCACCACACACACAGCAAAACCACTGAACTGTCTAATCCATTCCTTCATCTTCAGGAAGGACATTGAGGYAAATATTGAGCTACTTCCAGTTTTTAAGCTTATTTTTACCCAAGCTTACAATTTAAGAAGCACAAAAGCAAAGTGTTATTAGAGATAGGTCAGACTGAATACATAATTTAACATCAAGTTTTTTGAACATTTGTCATCTGTAGTGACTATATCACTTTTAATCTTTTCTCTAATTTCAAGTAGATTTAAAATCCATTGTTTTAATTCCTTAAAATCTGATCTTCATTTCACATATTTGATAGATGGCCCATCCCCCTTTTTTTTGATTGCTCTTAAAACATTAATGAGAATGTCAGATCTCAGTATATGAAAGCAGACAGAACCAGAACTTGAGCATACATTTTTGCTCCATACATATAGTGAAATACTTTTTGGATATCTACCTTCAAATTAGAATACCACAGATCTGGAAGCTCTCAGAAGGTTAGGATTAATTTCTGCCAAATACAAGTCAAAAGTCTGAAACACTGTCTCTAAATATGATCAATGAATGACAAGACTGAGATAATTGTGAACCAGGTTTGTCWTGTTTAACATCCATCCAAGCTCTCCTACTCTAAAATACCATTTTATTTGTTCACCTGTTTACTTCTGGGTAAGAGCTATGCTTAACTTTTTAYCACAACAGAAAGATTCTTCTACTCTTGAATTGCTTTCACATCAGTAATCACTTTGTTTCATATTATACTTTTGGAAGCCAAAACTGGCATGATCTTAAAAAGCCTTTTCTCAACTTCTCTTAAGAAAACAACTTCTCTGCTGCAACTCTTGAGTACTTCAGACAATCATCTCAGCCAGGAGAGAACAATAACGTTACTCACTTAACACCAACTATTTGGATTCCAAACTCCTTAGCACATTCCATGAGGTGCCTACAGTTCTTCAGTGTGGTACCAAACTTCATATTCATCTCCTCATCAGCAGTAATGTCTTCTGTGGCAATGTGCAGTAAGAGCCTAAGAGAAGGGGAAGATGATGGGGCAGTTGGTTTACATCAGCAGCACATGTGAAGCCTGAAGACTGTCAGAAGCAGTTGATTATGTTGCCATTACTCCAGCTCCATCGATGGACGAGTCAAGTGAACCTAGTAAAAACAATCCTGTACGGAGAAAAAACTAGCAATTAGGGGCTAAAACATGGAGCCAACAGGGATAAGGGATATCGAAATGCAGCAACTAAGACTTTTGTAGCAGCAAGAGCTGAGTGCTGTAATGAAAGAGAACGTTACCTTCTAGTAAGGGACACTTTCTCAAAGCCACTCATGACTCCGGTGCTTTTTCCATCTCTGCCCTCCTTTGTAACCAGGAGGGCACAGAAACTCCCCTTCAGCTAAGCAGGGGCCAGAGCTGGTTAGCACATGTGGAGAGGAGCAATTGAACAGAGTAAACCCTGGCTGCCCCCCTCCATCTCCCCCTCTGCTTGCCACAGGGGTAGGGAGAATCTATCAGTTTTCTCTTCCTTCAGGACACCTGGACGAAGATGCAGTGAATATCAGTTTTTACACTTTTACCAGGTAGTGCTAACTTCCTCCCTYCCAGGTCAAAGCCTAATCCTGGGCAAGTCTGGCAAGCAGCACTGTCAGCTGCTGACAGGTTCTTATCCTAGAAGAACTCAAGTGTTTGGCAAGGATAGGCTCCAGAATCTCTAGGAACACTCCACCCCTCACCAAAAAAAGATAGACRTGAACTGCTGTGCCCCACAATGGAAAAAAAATCACTAGCTTCTCTTTTCTCCTTCAGATAGCTTCATTAGCCACACAACTCACTAAATGGAGGTTGTATCATACACCCATAGACTATGTACAGCCCATTACATTGGRCTGAGATGCACAGGCACAAGTAGCAGTTGTCCTGTGTCTGGAAAGTGAAGGAATTGAAATATGCAGCAAAGGGAGCTTAGTCAGTACAAAATACAGTGTCCCTGTAGCTACCAAGAAGTCTGAGTCCCTTCTGAATGTCTCAGGATGCCTTCAGAAAGGTATTTTGTAAAGAGCAAAGACCCTAACTTGTCCCTCATATGGTACCTGACAAATCTGGTCAGTTTTTATCTACACCACTTGTGAAAAGCCAGGAAGTTGGAGGGCACCTTGAGTTTCCCTAGTATTTTGGTCACCTCTTGTGACCAAACAGTACTTTGTAAAGCATTTGGAAAAATCATGCTAGATTATATACCCCAAGTCTGTTATATTAAATCCTTTTAAACACTTCTAAAAGCAAAACTCACAGTACTATTGTCTGATCTCAGATTAGACAATAAAAATGTCCTATTTTAAACTGTATTGATGGGTTTTCATAGCAGCAGTATAATTTGAGAGATTGATCCAGTGAAAGCCACTATGCAAGAGGTGTTACTCTGATTTCTCGAAGTCTTCTACTGATTCTTAGTCTCAGTCGGAGCCGGCACAGAGGACAATTTATRCATATGGTGTATTCAGGATTCATTTTGTTTTACATCTTTTTATTCCTTAAGTAACTGCTCTTCCATTTAGAGATTTCAGGACACCCTGGGCTTGTTACCTTTACCAGGCAAATCATTTAAGGAAGTGAAGTTCTAAGTGCTGCTTTCCTCATATGTCCCTCTTAGAAAAGATTTAGAGCTCCTCGAGTTAAAGCTTCCAAAAACATGAGCATCCAGTCTTGAATACTAGACCCACCCAACAGTGAATTTGGCACAGAACATTATAAAAAGAAAGTTAAGAGAAGCAAAATTACGTTCCTAAGCAGAATATATTCTGATAAAACAGCTAGAGTCACTCACCAAAAGACAACCTAGCTGTACCTAGTCACAGGTGTTAAGAACAAGGTTATATAGAGGTATTGAGCTTTTGAAGCTATGCCAAATGACAGAGACACTGCAGCTGTTACCTTCAGTATCAAATACAACTTTTGTGACCTCAATATGAGAAGGCAGTAATGAACAGTAAATATTTGACCACAACCCTGATACTCAGTTCTTCTAGAAAATGTAAATACCCAAGTACATTTCCTTTACAAAAATACTTTCTCATCCTTTGTAATTATAAACTTTTCAAGCATCAAAACTCTGATCTTAAAGTAAAGGAAGTTTTCCTCTAGTTTATTCAAGTCCTGCATTCTGATTCCTTGCTTTAAAGTCTTTTTGCCTCAAGAAAAATGTGCACCCTAGCTTCTTACTCTGGATGATAGAWGACCTTCTAAAATAGGCTGCTAACTTCTGAAGTCCAGTTTTGGTGCCCATTTCTTTGAATGTATCTTTATCTACAGAAAGAAAAAGATGGGAATGGAGAAGGGCATGTTGTCCTTTGCATTCTTTCTCCTTGTTCTGCTATCAGCCCTCAACACCGCCCGTAGCCACTTGGCTGGGGGCAGCTGGGCTACACAGGCATCTTAGATGGTGCTTTTCACACCCATCACCCACATGAAGGGGACTCCCCACAAAACACTGGTTCTTACTCATGGCTTCCTGGATTATCATCTTTTTTCTAGAGCTCCTTATGCTAGCAAATAATTTAGTCAAGGAAGCCTAAAACTGGGAAAATAATCTCTATTTGGCAGCCATAATTATCTAGACTGCAGAGTCTGAATAATGAAGTCCTTAATCACTCCAGAGATATTTGGGATCCATCACAGGTATCGGAACAGTCGCCGCTGGAGGCAAAGGGATCCCCACAAGCAACGCACAGGCAGCCTCATCCCACCAGAAGAGCTGCACAAGCCGAGGGCTGCTCTCAGGAGAACTCCCCAGCTCTGCCATTCCTGCACAGGGCTAAGTGCCTTTCACTTGCTCAACAGCGTAGCCAACCTCACCAAGCACCTGGGCAGTTATTAAAGTTATTAACACCCAATGTAATTAATGCCCATGTGTGTTTTGATGTAGTTAATTAGCTCATAAACCACCAATAACAAGACTTTTACAGACTAGCCTTTGTACAGGAAGTACTCTCCAATATGTAAAGCACTGATTTAYTACCACAGCAGCATGAAACACTGAGGCAGCAGTCTTACAGACATTGAGGTACRACTGGTAGTTTCTCCAAACACTCCATGTTGTACCCTCTTCCCAGCTGTATAACTGCACCTTTGTGAGAAGATGCATTGCTAAAACCAAGGGCTTTGGTAAGGACGTCAAGCAATTCTTCTCAGGGCCTCTGACGACTTGCATGGAAACTAGCTTTGGTAGTCACCAAATATTTAATGTTCRTGTTGGACATTGGCTCCAGCACTTCTTAAAGATGTTACCCAAAAAATTCCTCATGTGAGGAAGATGATGCTCAATGAAGCACCTATTGAGCTAAATTTGTCTTGTACAATCGGTAGCAATAGAATCCTTACACTTAAGACTAACACACACCAACTCTAGTTAATCCTCCACAGAAGGTATCAGTTCAGTGCTGGTCCAGACTCCAAGAGGAACCGAGCCAAGTTCCTTGCTGTCATAAGAGGAGAAATATCTGCAGGCACATCTCAAACCCCATAGCACATACAAGCCCTAGATGAGACCCATTTATGGGCTCATTTGCTGACAGTTTCTACCTAAAAATTGTCTGAAGCCATTGACATCGAGACAGAACATCTGAAAAAAAATAATGAGGTCGTAAAGAAGACTGAAGATGTACTTGGAGGACAAGATGCCAGAATTTTAACATCTAGCCACCAAAATCTTAAATCTATGCATCAAAGCCTACCCTGCCCATTCAAAAAGACTTCCCTCCATAAAAGGGACTATCATATGGGGAAGCAGGCACTCAAGTGGGAATAATCTTGCACAAAAGCTACCACCAAAAGAGGAAGAAAAATGTGAATTTTAAAGAAGTCATMTCTCTTGCAACTCAAACAACCCATGATTGCAGACAAATTCCTAACATGTGAAAAGCACAAAAACACAAATTGACACTTACTTAGCATTTGGATGGCTCCGTGCAATCTTCTTCAGCTCAATATCACTGTCGCAGGTCATGATGTTTATCCCAGTTTTGGCTGCGTACTTGATCTGAGAAGCTTGCTTGCAAGGGTTTGTGTAGATGATGTTCTCAGGAGAAATGCCCAAGTCTTGTACCAACACCATTTCAGACTGAAAGAYAGGACCATAGCAGGGCTTCAGACACATCCAGCAGCACTATCTTAACTGATTTGAYATGAAAGGTATTCTAGCACTATAAAAAAACCAGTCCATAACCTGCTGCTTCTAAGATTAAGTATGAATTGGCAATAGCCAGTTACTTATGCACTGAAGTTCTAAGTTAGATTAACATAACACTTAATATCAAAAGGCTGCTGAACGGGTAGAAGGGAAGTGAGGCACATACATGCAAGCAACACTTACTTTATTGGAACATGCAAATCCAATTCCAAGAGTTCCCAGAATTTCAAGTACACCTGGAGTGGAATTGCATTTTACAGGGTAAAATGGTTTTATTGGTGCCATCACATTCTGCCATTGTGTGTTTTTCTTCACAAGCTTTCCAAGATCGCCAACATAAAATGCTCTTTTGCCAGTCTAAAAAATAAAATTAGGAAGATAAAATGTCTGAAATTGTGGCCTTGCTGTCAACACAGAAAACCTACGAGGTGAAATCAAAGGATTATGTATTCTCTGTCCTGCTATTGATTTTTAGTTTGACCTTAGTTCATTTGGGCATTATCATCACCTAGCAATTTGAGCTAGCTTTACATCAAAAAACACCTACCACTTCAAAATGATTAAATATTTAGCAATATTCTGAGATTCCAGAGCAAAACATTTMAGTGTGAAATATCAATTTCATCTGAAAACATAGAAAAGGTTACAAATCTCTTCCAACACTGTATTTTTTAGAAGTCTGCAATTCTTCAGAGGAAGAAAACTCACATGAAGTTTCCAGTCTCAACATAATCTGTAGATTATAAATGAAAAAATCTAACAAATCCTTGTTTCAACACTTAGCCAATAGCTTGTGATATTTTACTGAAAGCTTGTTCAGTAAATATTTTAACTGATAAAGTYGAGCATCGAGACTGTTCTCCACATTTGAGCTTCCTAAAAGGTTAAACAATTTAAAGAACTAAATTCAAAATATTAAGGTTGCAGAGCCAARTACATAATCTTTAAAAAAATGCATAGTTTTACAGGAACTGCAACAGTCCTCCCTTGGGCATTTGTTCCATAGCCTTGCTCAATATTAAGTTGTGGATGTCGTAGACCAGGAGCCAAACAGATTTCTGTTCGTAAGTGCATTCAATACAATTCCTGTAAGTGAATAACCTTCTGTACACCAACTAGAGAGCATCACACAACAAATAACCAATCTGAATTACGACTGTACATCAGATGTTAATGCTAGCACTTGACTTTCAGACAAATTCTGTCGTGGCTTATAGTACACAACGTCTTTATTTCCGTTTAAAAAACACAAATAGAAATTCCATCGGGTGGAAGCATACTGACCCCCTGTACGGGTCACCAGCAGGAATGGGATCTGGAGCTTTAGATCCATGGCACAGGCCTCTACCCCTTGAGCTAAAGGAGTAAATGAAAGCAGCAGGAGGCAGCTATCCTCTGTGAGCCAGCCAGTGGTTGGAGACATGAATGTTGCCAGTAGTTTACCTATTTATTTGCTAGACAGAAAAAGAATATTAGGAATCAGGATTTGGGAATCCTATACCTGACTGCAGAAGGCCATGGGATTTAGCTATTTGCTGTACTACAGCTGAACATTTGCATCTACAACTAGCCCTGATAAACCATGGGTAAAAGTGAGCAGCTCATAGGTATTGCATATTTAAGGATAAAGGACTTGCTTAAATTCATTTGTATCAAGTTCTTCCTTTAACAGTCTATAAACCAGACTACAACACCTTCCAGCCTCCTAAAAGCAGGGAGCCCTTACTCAAACCTATTTTGGTGTACACTGTATTCTTCAAGTACTTTTCCCCCCCCAGGGTTAAACCTCACTATTTCTTAGAGCAGCTCTTTTTCTTGGTAGAAAGGAGCAGCACCTGACATTATGACCTYGTTCCTCCTACTCACATTTCTAGGCTTATGGGAAAGCCCAGGAAAGGCTTATGGGAAAAGCCTTATGTGAAGACTCGCGACCTATGAGCATAACTGACCACAGAGGTTTCAAACGTGGCTTTAAACTGGCTGAGCATACAAATTTGTCTAAACTTAGGCACATTTTCAGGAAAAGAGAAAAAGCGTTTAACTCAGCACACTACCAGCTTGCCAATTCTCAAATTCCTGGTCTAAAGCCCATTGACAATAAACATTCTTCAAGGAATGAGATGGGAACCTGTTTTTCAACACATTAGCAAGACCTTCCTCCTAGCCATGCTCAGGGAGGTAACAATTGTTGCCCGAAATTCCCCAACAGAAACTTGGCCCAAGACAAACAAGAACAGCAAGGAAATACAASCAGAACATGAATCTAGTTTAAAGAGGTTTTGCTGATTGTTCCTCTGTTGCTCTCAGCTCAGTGCTAAATACTTYGACCTAGTTTGAAGACTTAAGAGAACCAATAACTTGTAAAATTTATAAACTTACCTGAGTATGTTCATAAATACAGTTGTCAATAACATCTGCAAGYGTTGCTCCTTCATCCAATAGGCCAATGGAGTAATTTGCATCCTCCAGAAATCCTTTCATCTCAGCCGTTTTCCACAAAGCCGACAGTCATAAACCAAGAAACACAAGGGATGGGCTTCCAAGCCTTAGATCCGGGTCCTTAAATTATGCAACAAACTGGACAAAGAAAACATGACTCAGTGGACACAAGAGCACAGGGTAACCCATGGGACTACTCAAAGATTAGAAATTCCCCACATCAGATGCACCACAAACAGAACAAAAATAAAACTTGGGTTTTACTCTCTACTTCCTCTATTTGCCAGTAATGCTAGTGTAATTTCACTGAATMCAAGAAAAACACACACTTGAAATCTGCTACTAAAGATGAGCTATAAGCACTGTGGGGAGCATCACAGATTGAATATCCACTGAAATGGGCAGAACTTAAGCACATTACTCAAAATACTGTTTGGATGACACTAGTTTGTAACTACTGCCTGCAATTATTAAATTCACTAAGTATTTCTGTTCATAAACCTGCCTACCATACTTAGAAAGCCTCCACTTACAGGGGAACAGAGAAACTTCTAGCTAGAAGTAAYTTATAGCAAATAATCTCAGCATTAAAGTCTACCTTAAATTGCATCTWATCTTTAAATATTTACTGCCAAGCAGATATTGTTTTACAAAAATAAAGTTTGAATCAGCAAGATCCAAAAATCAAAACCACCAAGAAACACTTAGAACAGAGATGAAAAGCCAGTTTCAAGTGAAAAAACAGCACACAGCAGGGAACTACCAACAGCTGATTATGTAACTACCAGTTTTGCTTGATGAACAAAGCCATTCAGTTCACATTCCCTTAGAGCTTTCTTGAAAGCCACTTAGAGCTCACAATAACTGCCTGATCATACTTCATTTTTTAGTGTTTAAGCCTCCCATCTTTATGGCAAAGACAACAATCCAAACCAGGCAGTCTCTTTGGGATCACCCTAGACATTTTTCAAAATATTTGGACAGAAGCTGCTTGACACTTATTAAAATCTGAGTGCTTGCTAAAGACTGGCAGCACTTGGCTTTAAAATAATCAAGCATATTTCTAGTTAAAAGGGCTGATGGGAATCAGAAATGCTCAGCTGAGCTCAGGTTCACTAAGAAATTCTAAAAGCTGAGATCCAAGTTTTACCATTTTCTTTACCATTTTCTTGCCATTGTAACTGGAAACAGAGAAATAGCTAGCACAGCTTTGTATGTTTTCTGTACTAGTCATTTTGCAAGTGTCCCCTATGATTTTCCCAAAAGAAACATTCACCAACAGGTGACAGCAGCAGAGCATTTTCAGCTACATTCAAAATAATGAATGCTAAAGGCAAGTGGCTTGTCTCGTGCACGGGGTGAGTCATATGCTTATTTAAATGAACCCAAAGACACAAAACAATTATGAAAGAATAAGGTAAAACCTGACAATGTGATGAGTAAATTCAGATTATAAAAACAATGGCTAGGGGGTAGAAACTAAAAAAAACAGAAAAATTATCTTTAGTCACATCTCAATTTAGGTTTGTAAATGACAGTTCAAATTCCTCCTTAAAAACCTGTGAGCTAAATTTGGTTTGGAGTCTATGAAGGGAACAAGAATCCTACAGTCATGTTTGCAGAGCTACTGTCATGCTATGAACAGGTACTTCCTAATGAACTCACCAAGCTTTTAACACATTCATCTCCACAAATATCAGTGGCAACCAGGAAAAGCAGTGCTAAAACTGTCTGGTTAAGAAAAACTGGTATCAGCACTAAAACTGAGAAATTTTTCAACTATATACACATTCAAGGGCAAGAAGAAAGAAAATTATGAATATGCATAAAATGCTGGCAGTAGACTTTTTTGGGCATCATTTCTTTATAGTGATTTAAATCAGCTTAATGCTTAATTAGATTCAAAAGTTCTTTATCCATCCTCAGTAACTTGCTGGCTGTATAATAAAAACACGAAACTCTTTTCCTATAAGAATGGATTCTTTCATTGTCCCATTACCAAAAAATAATGCCCGGAGAGTAGCAGCACCACAAAAGGACTTGGATTTTCCACAGATTAATCAGAAGCAGGAGATAAAGCTAACCATTCAAAACCCAAATCCCTTAAAATTTCAAGTCAAATAAAAAAATGAAGTGAGGGGGAACAAGTACTTTTCTTTTGTATCTGTAAGATCTTTCCTACACATCTGACCTGGCTTACCATTTTTAGAAAAAAAACACTTGAACAAAGACAGGGTCAAAAAGGAACCACAGGCACACTGGGACAAAAAGGAACCACCTAAACACAGTCCTAATAGCTTGTGGGAAACCCAGAACAGAGTGAAACCACTTTTCTAAGCATGTTTGTGACATGTAATTTCTAGAGCTGATCTAGTAAAAAAGTGGTATTAACCTAACTTCCTTCCTCACAGTCACAGCTCACTCCTCTCCAATTTCCCTTATTCTGGAAGAAACAACATCTCTTCAATCTAGAGAGCAAGACAGGAGGAATATTTGAAAAGGAAAAATAAGCCTCTAGTACCACTAGAGTACCACAAAATGTGGGAATATTAAGACCTTAAAGGAACACTTGTTCATACCAGAGTGATTCCAGACAGTATCYGTCTCTGCCACACACATTAGGAGAGCAGCAAAATAATTTGCAAAAAATCAAATTCCAAAGAGTCAAAGACAGTTTACTAATACTAAATGTCTACTAGAAGAGGCAGAAGTTATTACAGGATCAAGTTCAGTCCTTGCTGGGAACACTGACTTACTGCAAGTCGTGATTTGAAAAATGTGGTAACACCACCCACTTTACCCTCCTCAAACATGAGCCTGCACAGTGCTCCAGGACACATTTTGGGGCAACAAAGGCTGTCAAGTGGTGTGAGACTTCTACATAGGCATGCAATTGCTTTCTTTGAAAGAAGCACTACATCCCCAGGCTCTTCCTGGGGTAGCACAATGACTTCTCAGATTAACAGCTTTATCTTAAAGTTTAAATATGTAAACACTACAATGCAAACGTGGAATACAAGAAAATTAAAATGCTGAGAAGCAACTGAACACATGCTTGTCATACACAAGTATCCATGAAGAGAAGCTTTTTCTTTACACTTCCAGAGCTATGCAGTGACTGCAGGGGTAGAGGGATAAAGCCCACTTCTGTGGGACAAGCTAGTCTCTGCAGACCAGGCAGGCTCCTATGATGCCTTTCAATTATTCTGTCTTATTATCAAACAAATATTTAGGAGATTAACAATTATGCTAATGCAGAAAAACCCAAGTRATAGAATACAGTCATCTCAGATTCCTCACTGTAACGGTTCTTCAGCAATGAGAGGAAAAAGAGCATTTTGTCATTAACAAGGAAGCAAACATAATAAAGAATACAAAACTGTTCTCCACTTTCAGCATCGGAAATGCCTCTATGTACTAGAAGTATCTTTTAGAATATTCCAAGATACAATTTTACCACGTTATATCCTTACGGTTATTTGAATGCCATCATGAACAACTCATGGAAATGCCAAGGCAAGTATTTTTATTTACACTGAGTCATTTTGCATTCCCTCAGCTGCCCCCATTATAAAACCATACAGGGCACAGCAGCAGAATGTTTATACTGCTTGGGTTCATCCTACTGCTCTCAGAACTATAGCATGTGATCAGCTGATCCATATAAACACTTTTTCTGAGGAAGAAAAAGGAAGAGGGTGGTTAAAAAAATCTGACACTTCCTCCTGTAAGCACCAGTCTGTCAAAAAATATTTCATTTTATTGACGATGGCCTGCTTAGCTGCTTTGAATAACGTATTTAAAGCTTAAAAATGAGTGCTCTCAGGAGCATACAGTATCCCAGAGGTATACATGCTAACATGTCTGTGATACTACAAAGTTACTTCCATATCCTACCATCACTTTAATCAATACATTCAGCACCCCCCACCCTCCCCACRAGTCCTGTTCTGTCATTGCCCATTCACCCCATTCAGGCAAAAATTTCTCAGGAAACCACAGCTCGAAGAGCAAGACAGAATTAAACTTTAAGAAGTTCTTCCTTGGCTAGCAAAGTGCACAGAAAAATGAGGGAGAAAATAAAAAAGGAAACAAGTTTACCAAGAATATAAGTTCTTTCAGACAAAATTATTTGAATTCCCTTGGAACATAAGATTAATTATATTTAAATGTTCAATTGACCTTTTCCCCTTTAATCACTTAAAAAGTTAAGGACTCAAGCTACTAATTAGCTGTCTGATTTAGGCATAATTAGGTGCATTTGGGACATTTAGCTGAGCTTCATCACTTCCAAAACACAAACTTACTGGCCAACATTTGCCTACAACTGCTGGACACAACACCACATTGAGCTACTTCCATTTCTCTACAGTAAGTCAAAAGGAACAATTTCAATGAAAGTACCAAAACAAGCTTCTCAACACTGAAATAAAAGCCAATGTTTCAAAACAGTTTAAAATTACAATTCAAAGTAGTTTAAGAATTTAAGCTACATTTACTCCYTCCTATCTTCTGCCCTTTCTTACAGTTCACTTTATTCCTGCTCAAGTGGAATCATGCACGTTGTTCTACCCACATGCAAAATGCAGCAGAAACTCCAAGAGAAACATTTTTCTTGTACCTCTTCCTCAAAAAACTCGCATGTAACCTACAAAATACCAGAAACATTCAGATAACTTTGAATGTTTGCCACATTCACCTGAATAGATCAGTCATCTACATAGACCCAGGTATCTTGGGTTAATTCCAGCCCATTTCAAACAAAACCAAAAAGGAAATGATCTCTGCAGGTAAAGCCAGAAGTCAGGATAAACCAAGCTCACGCTGTGCTTTCCTCTCTGCAATGTTTTCAGAGGGCAGGGTCATCTACWTCAAGCACCTGATGAGGAGATACACTAACATAACTGATATTTAAATTCTTTGGGGGTGTTTCCAGTATGTCTGAATTAGATACACTAACCATTCTCCTTTTAACATTCTACATGAAAAAGCTCCCTCTAATTACAGACTGTAAACCAACGCAACAAAATATCTTCAGCTAGATGGGGAAAGGGTAATACCATATAAAACCAACTCAACTCAGATGTTACAAATTAGTTTAAGGCTATTGTTAAAACCACATAAAGCAATTGTTTTTAGTTAACAGAACAGGATAACCACACACATTCCAGAGACTGAGCTCTTTAAGATCAGCTAGGAGTACTCATTTGTTTTCAGTTATCATGGGCTTTGTTTTTCTTTCCTAACTGCCTTTTAAAATTTAAGGGCATTTATAATTGGTGACTGACTTCCATCCAGCACGGCGCTCTGCAGCTCAGCTACAACTATTTGTGGAAGTGGGCAGCAATTAGCAAATAATGGAGACAGGCCTCTGGGAAGGCACACCCTTCATGATCAGCAGTAGTTGCCATTTACAATGGCAAGTTTGAACTATTTCAGTAAAAAAATACCTTAAGAAATAACAATACCAAGCAAAACACCATCCCGGGTTAAGCTACCCAATGCCAACTCATGACTTTAGAGTTAAAAGTTGTTGCACTTAGTATTTCTGCAGCCAACAGCCTTAGTTCAGAAAAGTAACTCTTATAAAGTTTACTTACACATTCAAGTCCCACTAAAATTAATCACGTAATTGCCGAGAAAAGGATTAGGCAAGTAAAAGTTAGTTCYCCAAGTGAAAGCCCAGAACATTATGCATGTCACTGTTTTCCAACTTCTGATTATCCCCACCAAGACATTAATCTTGCTTATCTGAAGGGCAGTACAGGCTGCTCATGCTTTCCAGAGTGTGTAGAAGGATGGGAAGGGGAAGAGACTTACATGGACAAGTTAGGAGATGGAACCCTACTATCATCAGCTAGGTTCCCAAGGTGGCTCAGCGTTGAAGTCGAACTGCTCTCTATAAAGCACTTCTCCTAAGCCCTCTGGATAGTTGTAAACCTGATCAGAGATTTTGCCCTGTGGGAGAAAACAGACACAAAAAYAAAAGAATTATAACATGCAAAAAAATAAAAGSTTTATCTTAAAACACTTAAATGTACTTATAGCCACACTTTTGAAGAGGAATGTGACATCCCACTGTTAARGTTTGTAATTACATAAAATGCCCAGTTTTAAAGAGTGAAGGCAAATTCTAAAACAGATGTAGGCAGGTGTATGAAGAATTACTAACACAGACATTAGATACATTAAATTACTTGGGCTTCTTCTGTAGCCCAAAATAAAAGACTTTCAAACCTCAAACTAAGGAACACTGAGATCCTGCTTTACCAAGGATGTCAACATTTGACTACCATCACAGAAATTTCCACATCCACTGCAGTTTCTCCCTCCTCACAACCTCCTCCTTATCCATCATCTCTGCTSTGAATTAAGACTATGTGCACAAAAAAAACAATGCAGGTGAAAAATAGGCTTTACATAGTAATGCTGAAAACCATATACACAATTCTAGAGATGAGCAAGACTAAAAAGATCTGTTTGCCTTTAGATATGGGAACATTTCAGTTGACCCTAGTATTATGTCACAAACAACACAAACCAGTACACTGAACAGAAAATATTCAGGGAAACACTAGCCAACCATGCTGACAAAGTTCTCCTCTAAATGGATCGGTTAGGTTTTAATGAAATTAAACACATCACATAACCCAAGGCATATCAACTGTTCAAAAATTCAATGCAGTCTCTGGCACAAAGTGCAGAGCATGCCAATATATATTAAAAATAAATTTTTAATGCTGTCATTATTTAAACAAGACTACAAATAGAGACTGTAAGAGTCTGACTTCTGAGCAGCACAGAGCTTAAATGCTCATCTTTTGAACCACAGTACAGTTAAGCAAACTGAAATGTATTTTCCCAGTTATTCTTGCTATTAAGCTAGACTGGCATACTTTATATAATAGTGAATTACAGGCAAAAATAATACAACTTGAAATGAACTGTTTTCACAGCAACTCTATAATGCAACTGCTTTGACTGCCATATAAATGGACCTTCTGTAACATAATAGACTTTGGTGCTTCAAACTGAAATAAAGCCTTGTCAACTAGAATGAACATACATGCAATGTATTTCATCTTTCTCTTCCTTTCACTAAAGCTAGTCAGTAATATCTCRTTTTCAGATTATGCATAGAGCAGATGTACCTTCCTAGCAAAGTCATTAAAAAGAGGGCTTCTAGGGGGAAAACATGACCTTCAATACAGAACTCAGAGGCTGTGACAGGTGCACAAATCTGCAGTACTATTACCACAAATATTCCCACRTGTCCCAAGTAGAACAGTTTCCTCAGAGTTGGAATGAAACCTGATTATTTTCTGTAGTGAGTTTTTTAATGTGCGCATGTGAAGTATTTCTCTTAAGTTTCTATGCAGCTACGTAGAAAACATGGCTTTATTTGCCTGTTGCATCCACATTTGCCAATAATAGACTGTCTTCATCTATGAATGTTTAAGTTTTAAATCAGACATTTCACCTTGTAAATCAAAGAATGAGAAGAGCTATAGTTTGCTCCACTGTAGTAAAGCATGACTACCATTTTACGCAGTAGACRTCTAATATATACTCATAGCTCATGCAAACCCACTTTAAAAAAGTGCCTAAGTGAAGGGCCATAATGAAATGCCCCTTTGTTTAAAGATCTTAAMGTAGGTGCAAGCGTTTTGTTAAATAACAAGCTTTAAGCTGTGATCTTAGCCAAAAAGGCAGYATTGTCTTAAATCTCAGGTGACATTTATTCATTATGTATCTGCAAGGATATTCTCCCAGCAGGTGCTTTGAGCCTAACTGCTGTCTGTCCTGTGTGTCACACATATGGGGAAGATAAGCCCAGGCCCAGCACAGGGTTCTGCCCACACAGCTGCCTTCACCTGACAAACCCTATCAGAAGCACCAGGGCAGTGCAGGCCAGACCCTTCCCAGCTCATCTGCCCCTTCCACCACGGAGAAACACAAAGCTGAGCATGGATTTTCTTGGACAAGATGACCCACTGCATCACTCTTTTGCTAAAGACACCTTTGGTTTAGAGCTAAGACATTCATGAGCTGAAGCCTGAAAAGGTATGAGCGTAACAACCTCACRTCTACACTGGCTGACAGTCAGAGGCACCAGCTACTGTTGGCCACAGGAAAGGCCACACTGCTCTAGTTACAATGGCTCTTTRGCAGGCAGGTGCTCAGTCATTCTCCGAGGAGCAACATGAGGGACAGCACCGGCCTGCTTGCTCTCCTGAGGAGCAGTCTGCCAGGGATCTCTCAGCTACAGCACTCTCTCCCCCAACTCAACAGCTCTTTGAACTTACCCTACACCTAAATTGGTCCATTAAATGATTAAGTCTCCCTTCAGGAAGGGACAGGCTTAACTCCCTGCCAGGGCAGCCTGTCTCTGCTTTAATTGGAGAAACTGAATCATTTTCAAGTCATGCGATCCAGCTGAGCACTACCCTCAAACACCTGCAGCAGCCTCTTAAAAAGCAATAAGCACAGCGTGAGTAGCCAAGATGCAGAAGTTGCTTGCCYGGGGCAAGCAGCAGCAGGGAGAGGTGCGGCAAGGCCAACCTCCYGCCTGGAGTCTCCGCAGGAGAAACATTCCCATTACTATGTTACCAGCCAACAAAACGCTCCTGCGCTCAGACTGCCTGCCGGGCCTCCAGGAGGAAGCAGGGATGGAGGAGAGGCCGGAGCCCAGCTCAGGGTGCCCCGGGGGGGCCGGGGAAGGGGCTGCAGTGCCGCCAGCATCAGCAGCTTTGTTCACTCTGAGACAGACGGGAAGGGAAGAACTAGACTGGACCAGTCCAGGCTGGAACAAACCCCTCCTACCACTGCCCTCATTCGCAGCCCCCCAGCGCTGCCGCCTCTCCTGTTATGTGGGAAGAGGAGCAAGTGCAACACTCTCGGAGCCCAACAGCTGCCGTGGGGGCAGGGGCAGCGCCAGCACAGGGAGCCCAGCCCGGCTGCTCCTTGGGGAAGCCGGAGAGGGAACCTGCCTCTCTGGACACAGCAACTCTGCTCGGGGCGGCTGCACAGCCGAGTCGCACGCGGTCACCGCTGCAGAGGGCTGAAACGCGGCACTCGTGGCAGCTGACACACCGGCTGTGCTGGACTCTACACTGCAGAAAACGCCTCCGAAAGGCCACAACAATTGAAGCTTGCTTACTTTTCCACCTGCTGCCACCCCAGCACAAACACATCTCCTCTGGCTGTGCGTGAGTCTGGATGACTCAAAAGGGCTGTGCTTTGTAGCTCCACCATTTCAGACACGGAGCGTTCCTCCCTCCGAGGAGCCCCCAACACAGGGGCATGGAAGCAGCCCTGTCCCCGGCTGCCCCGCTACGCTTGCGGCTCCGCACGGGCCAGGGGCTCCTCCTCCGCTGACACCTCATGAGACGGGAAGGGAAGCACCGGGGCRGGTGCTGGGGGGACACCCCGCCAGGCAGGCGCCCATGGGGACACCCCGGCACCCCGATGTCAGCCGAGCGGGGCTCTCCCCTCAGCTCCACCCCGGGGCCACTCGTGCGCCTGACAAGTGGCCARGGAAGGGGCCGAGCCCCGGGCAGGGCGGCCAAGCGAGGAGGCCGCGACTCCACACGAGGCTTCCAGAAGCGGCGGCAGCCTCGGCCGCGCTGACAGCCCGCGGCGAGGGCAGGCGAGSCGGGCACGGAGCGCGTGTCCTTGGGGGCCGCAGACAAAGGCAGCGCGGGCAGGCGCTCCCAGCCGCGGGCTCCGCCGGGCAGCCGCGGGGCCGCCGCTCCGTCATGGCGGCTCCTGTCACAGCGCGCGGCCGGCGCCCCAGGTGAGGGCCGGCGGGGCCGCGCCACGCCGAGGCCCCGGATGGGCACTCGC